GTATTTTTTCCTTCCCCTCCCTCTCCCCCGTTGCCCATTTTTCCACTTAACACCTACTCCCTCGGCAAATATTTCCTCGCCCCAATCCTCCACAGTTACCAAATCTAAGATGGCGGCCTAATACGAAAATGTGCACTCGTGCGCCCAAAATACGCCGGCACTGCAGGCTACTGTTAAAACAGTGGTTTTTGATGCAGCGCTTGCTGTCTTTTTTTACGCTGTTTTACATCAAATTTACATTTTTGTTGAGAAAAAACAAAACAAGATAAACAAACTAATTCTTCTTTTCAGATTGCTAATGCGCACAGTTACGGTGCTATAGCAGCCCTTCTTTACTCGGACCCAGCGGATTACGCCATGGAGGGTGGAGAACCAGAGAATACTTATCCAAACAAAGCATGGCTTCCTGCCAGTGGGGTGCAACGGGGATCCCTGTTCACGATGCCCGGGAGTGGGGACCCCCAAACCCCCGCTATAGCAGCACTTGAAGGGATGTATCGGAGGCCGCACAATGACAGTGAGCTTCCCCCAATCCCGGCGCATCCTATGGGATATGGAGATGCCATTCACTTTTTACAAGAAATGTCAGGTAATCGATCGGGGGAAAAATGTGAAATTTCCAACACATCGATCATGCGCAAGCACTTTGATACACACTTTCGAACGCATGCGCATTGGTTTTCAACCGAGCTTTAACCCATGTCCTTTCGTACAGTTCAATTCACAAGCACTTTTGCACAATTTTAGTGAAGCTTGATCCAGGTGTATTGAGTTCTTTGGCCCTTTCTGAGCGCTTTTTTTAATGGTTTGTCAAAAAGGATATATGAAAATACGCAAGGAGCCTTTCTCAAGACTGGAAAAAAACTTCCTTAACCCTTTCACTCCCAAGGTCTCATTAGTAATTCTCTTTACTGTCTGCCATACAATGCTTATCAAGTTCATTAGCAGAATTTGGTATCAGATCAACTAATAATAACCTAACTGATAGTTTTCTTTATTCTCATCACTTGTCTGCTTGATACTGTATTAATATTGTAAGGAGAAATTTTGTGTTGGTCACTGATGAGAGTTAAATTGTTTACACCAATAGTCCAGCAAGACCTTGCGCTACATATTTCTCAAAGGATCTGGATAAGGTTCAAGGCATAATCTCTTTTACTTCATTTTACGCGCGTTTTAGGATCAGAGGTACCTAAAGGATGGAAGGGAACCCTCAATATCACCTATCGTCTCGGACCAGGCTTCACAAAGAACGAAGTCGAAGTTGAATTAGACATAAATAACAATCTGGAAGAAGTGCCGATATATAACGTGATAGGAACGATTTACGGGAGCGAGGAACCGGACAGGTACGTGCTCATTGGTAATCACAGAGATTCTTGGGTGAACGGTGCAATCGACGCTGGTACTGGAACCTCTGTGACTGCTGAGATCGGCCGTGTGCTTGGACAATTGTTAAAGACAGGATGGAGGCCACGTCGAACTATCAAGGTAAGACAATTAGAAACATATTCTCACAGAGCAATTTTCAATTGGATATCGAAAGTAATATGGAATTACCTTAGTTTTCCTTTACATCACTCTATGATTGGTCGAGAAATTAAACTTGCGCCATTCTCTAAACCAATCAGACGCAAGGCTGAATCCAATCGCGATTTCTCAATCACCCACGCTTTCCTGAGCTTTCCCGCGCTTTTGGTGATTTGCAGTTTTTACCTCAAACTCGCACTAGCCAGTGGTGAGCTGAACCTTTTGTCTGATCAGGAGATATCACAGGGTTAAGTTACGATTGTTAGCCAAGCTGGTATCAAAATATTATTAAAGTTCTGTTCAAATCTACAGATCTGCAGCTGGGGAGGAGAAGAATACAGTCTCATTGGATCAACGGAATGGGTCGAGCAGCACCAAAAAGAGCTTGGCGAGCGAGCCGTCGTCTACCTAAACACTGACACAGTTGTCTCTGGCACTTACGTCCTGATAGCTTCCGGCAGTCCACTAGTCAGGAACGCCATCTTGGATTTTTCTAAGAAGGTGGACGATCCCAACGCGCACGATGACAAAAAAACCGTGTTTGATATTACGCTCGAACGTAACCCGTCCAAAACCCACCCGGGAAAGCCGAATGTTGGCGATTTGGGTTCTGGTAGTGATTTTGCCCCTTTCTATCAGTACGCAGGTGTCCCCTCAGCAGATTTTTACTACATTTTTGGCTACAAAAACAAAACGGTTTTCTACCCAGTCTACCACTCACAGCATGATACGTTTGATTGGACCGTAAAGTTCGTGGATCCAAAGTTCTTGTTCCACAAGGCTATGACCCAACTTACTGGCGGACTACTGTTACAATTCGCAGATGCACCACTTCTGAAGATGGATGTAATAACCTATGCAGAGGCACTGAATAACTCTCTAAATTCCCTGAATGGAAATTACAAGGAAAAGTTGAAAAACTACGCAGATTCGATGGGCTACTTAAAAGAGGCAGTTGAAAAGTTCCACGAGACTGCAAAGACCTTTTCAACAGCCAGGTACTCTTGCATATGAGCAGTACTCTTGCATTGTACATAATCCCAGTGTTTTAGATTAGTTCAGTTTTAAAGCACCTTTCAACTGAGTGTTGATGACATAAATTTTAAGTGATCACAATGGCCGATCATAGCGACCATTCACTTCATCATAAGCCAATGAGAATTCAAATTAAATCCAGGCAAACTTCGTTTTGCGTCTCGGATTGGTTGGGGAGATGGTGTGAGTTTTCTGGACCAATCACAGAGTGAACTAAAGCCAAAGTAAAGTAATCTCAGAGTTCTTCGTGGAAAATTTCTCTACATGTACCTATTATGATAAGTATTCGCAAACAATAGTCCCTTTTACAGTTGTGGGCTTGGTAGCCAAGCCTTTGAACAGGAGTGAGGCTAAGGGTGACCCTGTTGTGATAGATACCTGTATCTAGTTAGCATGATAACAAAGTAATTTGCATTTGAAAAGAAGCAACATCTCTATCATAACAAGGTCACCCAAAGCCTCACTCCTGTTCAAAGGCTTGGTCACCAAGCCCACAACTGTAAAAAGAATTATTGGCTTAGCCTTTTTCACCCAAGTTTATATTCACAATTCTGTTCTCTAGACAATCCTTCAGCTACTAACAAGGAGAATTTGTTTAATGATCAATAGCTTTAATTTCTCGTTGCCGATAATTTTCTTTGTTCTCATGACCTCAATATTTGATTATGGAGTGGTACCATAAGCAGAGATTATATGATTATCACTAAAGGGATAAATATTTAACAATTATTCCACGAGCGCGCGTTGGATATGAGATGATAGATAGCCATCTCATAGCCAACAAGCGCGAGTGGAATAATTGTTTTATTAAAAACGCCCCCAAGAAATTATTTTTTTGTAAGAGGAAACCGGAATTTTTAGCTCCCTTTTGATTTTAAGCTGACGCGTACGCTTACCACATTTGTAGATTATGGTATATTGGCTCATATACCATAATGGCTAAGCCAATAAAAAGTCTTGAATTGCATTATCCAATGATCCAGTTTTTAATAA